TCAGGAGGCTGTTTTAGAGGTTAGGTTGAATGATACTTAAATTATGAAACAATCTGGCATACAAGGTGCTGTTTGACACATTATTATTGTGTCTCTTGTCTGCACCTTGTACTGAGATGGAATTGTATGACTGGGCTTCTCATCAATTCTGTCTGGTGCAGAAATCTTGGCAGCTCCAATAAATACACTTGCATAAATTTAAGTGACTACACACACGCAGGCTCTCTTTGTATGAATTCTCACACCTTGCCCTGTTATATGGCAGGTCTAAGCTGTATAGTGTTCAACCCAGGTGGTGGGCATCACCATCTGTGCCATGTGTGTGTGCATGCGTGCATGCAGAAACATGCACATGTGCTTTGACATGGCAGGCTCTCCATGGTTGTCCTTGTCTGAAGAGCTCTACCCGCACATGGCTTCTGTCATCAGGAGTCAGTGTTCTCCCGAAGTACAAATATGAATGATGTCCCTACTGAAGGACCTTTATATTATAAAATCTATTTGTGTTTATAGTGATCCTCAGAGCAATGAGGAGAGGAACTCTTTGTTCCCGTCTGTGTCTTGGAATCCGCCTCTACCTCAGGCAGAACCACACACATACCAGGGTTTGGCATCCTCATTCACCACAGAATTTTGAAGAGACTTTGGAAATCATCTGCCACTTTGGAATTGGTGTTCAAAGTTCCCAGAAAAACAAATAAAGAGGCAAACAAAGCGGTGATTCCTCTTCTCAAATAAAATCTTCTGCAGGAACCAGCATTGTAAAGCCAATAAAAGTCCTCTAGGCTAGTCAGAGATGGCGACTTCTTTTTTGTGTGTTGTCTCTGTCCTCACCCCATTGTACTGGTTCCCCTGGCTCTTTTGAACTGTGTTAGGATCTTTGGACAACTTAGCATGTGGGTTTGAATGGTGCTGCTCTTGTTCAAGACAGCAGGGGGTTCAGTGAGCAAAGGTCCACTTTCTCAGCCTTCCCTAACATGTAACTGCTCCCAGAGCAGCGCTATGGAAGCCCAGGGCTCTCTGCAGCATTGCATTTTTTAATGCTTAGTTAGTTCTTTTACAGACAAGGAGACAGACCCAGAGAAGTCAAGTGACTTGACCAAAGACACACAGCCAGTGGTACCAGAATCAAGATTATTACCATCAAAAGATAATTGAGTCTCTCTCCTACAGAAGGAAAGATAAGATACATGTACATGAAGAGATAAAGGAAAAATAAAATAAACACTGTTCTCATCAGTGTCTATTAGTTCCACAAGTGTTTAGAAGATTGATATCATGGTTCCTGGAAAGTGAGGCTCTTTCCACTGAATTTTTCTAAATATTTGAGACATGGGTGTTGCCATGGGTGCCAGCTGCCAGCAGTAGTGCTGAGAAATGAGCAGGGAGAGAGGAAGGGAAGGGTGAAGAAGATGAACATAGAAAGGCAGCAGTAATGGGAAACAGCCGTGGTTAGGAAGGAAGGAAGACAGGAGCGTCTGAAAGGCTGAAGTTATCATACCTGCCCAGGGAGGTAGGGCTTCACTCTTGATTTGGGAAGGGGGTCTTCCAGGAGCCCTGGGACTCAATTGTGGTGTATTACCATTCCAGCCTTGATCTTCCTCTCATCTGCAGGTTTTCATGCCTTTTTTTTTTTTTTAATGCCTCCTTAACCCTGTCCAACTTTAACACAGAACAGTAGGAATGGGAACCTTATTCTTTCCTTGTTGACTTCCAAAGTTCCTGAGTTCCCAAAATCACAGAAAAAAAAAAAAGTTACCCCCCTTTCACAGGCTGAACATTGTGCATTCTCAAAGAGCTCTGTGGCGCCTCAGATTTCAAGAGGGTGCACAGCTCTGGCCTCAGAACTCAGGCAGGAGGAGAGCTATGAAGGAGTGTGTAGTCACAGGACCAGAGGTGTAAGACATCAGCACAGCAAGAGAAAGGTCTTGGACAAACTTTTGCATTTCTCCACTCCATTCATTTTTGCCCTTAGGTGTTTCTGTGGCAACACAACATATGTTTTGAAAGGATCAACCAAGCTGTTTCACTTGCTTACATTTTCGTTTGTTTTTCTCCTGGGTTTGGGGCGGGTGGGATTAACTTCAAGAGCACTCATCCTCCTGAAGTCAGAACGAATTGAATAGAGCCATCAGCATGCCCACGCACTCAGCAGCAACAGACACCTGCCTGGTGTCTCAGGATTCTTTTTCCAGACCCCTTCTTACTCAGTACTATCTCAGATCCCTAAACAACTTAGGATGAGAACTCTGACCCAGTTGTGTCTCTGGGGATAAGCGGGGACCAGTGAGAAACATTCCCCTGCACCCAGGAAGGCAAGATGAGATGAGTGGATCTTTGGACCCAGGGTCAGGAAATCTGCTTTCCCATCTTCTGCATATACTTCTCTGACCTTAGTATCTTACCAGCATCCTGGATTTTCAAGTAAGGTGGTTAATTAGATACCCTCTAAGATTCTTTCTGTCTCTCCAACCCAAGTGCTTTAAGCAGGATCCTGTAAGTTCTGCCAAGGAGGTACATTCCCATAAGGTGAAAGCGCTTTCAGGGGATGAGATTGCCCCCCATGGAAAGGGAGTCCAGCCTCAGCTCTCATCTCTTAAGTCTGCACACTCTCCTGGGGCAACCCCATTCAGCCCTCCCCTGCAAGCTGACCTCCCCTTGACTCCTTATGTCTGATGACCAGGAGCCCCGCAAAAGTCCCATAAATGCTTTAACTCAGCAAGTCCAGAACTGATGTCTCTCTGCGCTGCAGCAAGAGGCATGGACATCCAGAGTGATCCAGGTTAGGAAACTCAGGCAGGGGAGCAGTGCTCTTCTTTTGCTATTTCTTTCTCCAACCCCTCCATTCAACCAGAAACCACATTGCCTTCTTTCTCTCTCTCAAACCCACCTAGATCTCACCAGTCCCCTATCTACCTTGGCTCAAGCCTCCATGGTTTCTGCATGGGTCACCCCCCAACTCCCTCCAACCCCATCACCATCCTCACCCTCTAGGCCAATGCCAGATGATAGTACACATCTGACTCCAACATTCACTATCACTCAGAATAGAATCCAAGCCTCCAGGGGCAGCCCTAAAGCCCCCGGTCATCTTCTTCCTACCCACCTCTCCAGCCCCATAGCCTTCACTCTAGCTGATCAGATGCCTGCATTACCTGAAGCTCTACACACACATACACACACACACACACACACACACACACACACACATACACACACACACACTTTCCATGTTTTCCCTTTCAACCCCATCCTGAAGGAGTTTAATCCATCATCAACCTAATCAACCCACTTTAACCCCAAATTACCTCATATTAAAAGACCAGAGGCTCCCACATACTGTTACTTATTCCAAGGTCATTCTCCCCCTCCCCATCCCTGTAATGGGTAGTGAGACCATCCTGCCCCTAAGGTGCAGATTAATGCCGGCCTCTCCATTCCCTTTCCACAGCTTCTGCCTGATCAGGGCCTTCATCAGCACATGGACCCGTGGTTCTTAAACTTCAGGGTGCCTCTGGAATACCTGGAATCATCCAGGCTCCACAGCCAGGAGATCCGCCTCAGTAGATCCAGGGGAGGGTCTGGAATTCTGCATTTTTAAACTCTGTATCCTCAAACTGCTTCACCCTGAGCTGGGCACAGTGAAGCTAGCACTCATTCCAAGGATAGCAAATCAGAAAGATTGGCTAGGAGCACAGGTACATGTGTGGGTTAGCCTCCCCCCACAGAGCTACCCATCAGGCTCCAATGACCCTGCTCTTGGAGCACCTTCCCAGCAGGAGGGCATCTGACTTCCCAGGTGATGCCCCCTCTCTACATGTGGGTGAGACCTAGAGGTCTTCAGTTAGCTCCATCTGACCCAACAGACAATGGGAAGATAGATCTAGGAGTTCTGAGCCTACTGTCTCCTTGGGGGCTGTGACTGGGCCTGTCCTGCTTGGAGGATATGTGGCCGAATGCCATGTGGATCAGTGTTTTGTGGCTCCAGTGAGAGATGGGCTAAGGCTCCTGCAGAGCCGAGCAGTGGAGCATGAAGGCATCCAGGCAGCCTTCCCCTGGTGGGGGCCATTAAGGCACCGCACTGGGAATAAGGTTGTGGGAGAAAGCAATTAGTGGTGAGGGAAGCCAGTGAATCAGCACACAGAGTCGGCTCGCTCTAATTGAGCCAACGAGTTTGTCCTGTTAAGTGTGGGCTCCCAGGGACAGGAGCTTCACCCTTAAATGCAAAGCCATCTTCAAGGTGGTAGAGAGAGGAAAAACACTACCTCCCACCCCTTGAGAAAAGAGATGAGCCTTTTCTCTTCACTGCCCCACCCCAGTGCCTGCCTCCATCCTGGAAATGCTGATTTTCTCAGCTGTCTCTGTCTTTGGACAAAGATTTTTATTTTCTCAAGAAAGAGAGAGACTTCAAGTTTAGGGTCAGGGTATATGAGCAGATTGCCTGTGTTTTAGCTGCTGTTAGAAGATTTTCAAGGTCTCAACTTCTTTGCGGCTGTGTTTCTGGTCTATCATTTTGGAGAACCCAAGATGGTTTCTTTATCTTCAGGTTTGTTACCTCAAGGTGGCAGTAGGTACACTTATCCCATGGTTCTGTCCCCTCCTTTCTGAGCACTATTCTTTTCTGTCTTGGCATCATTTCCCTCTAGATCAAGACATTATGAGTTCTCTTCTGAGAAGGTGCAATGCAACATTCACTGATTAACTAAATAAGATATTTCTCCAAAATGCGTAATTTTTCCACGACCCAAATATTTGCATTATAATGGGACATTTGAAGACTAAAGAAACCCTTAATGCCCAATGAATTGGAGCTCTAAGTTTGGAGCAGACTGTGGCATTGGTAATCTGGCTTGGGGGTCCCACCCGGTGTCCCCCTAGATCCTACCACAGAGTGGGCAGCACTCTCCTCCACCTGCTTGGGAGATCTGCTGGTTCAGAACTTTCCAGATCCCCGATCTCATTGACTTTATTTTTCTCTCCCTTCTATTTTTGTTTCCTAGGAACGAGTGGAATATCTCTTTCTCATAATTTTTACTGTGGAAGCATTTTTAAAAGTAATAGCCTATGGACTTCTCTTTCACCCCAACGCTTACCTCCGCAATGGTTGGAATTTACTAGATTTTATAATTGTGGTTGTAGGGTAAGTATCACTACCTTTCTCTCTTCCCTCCCCTCACCCCTCACCATCCACCAACATGTGCCTCCATTTCCTTCTGTTATTTGTATCTCTTTTTATTTGGTCATCGTGGCAATGGGCACCAGGCAAGATGAGAGGATCCATTAGTCACTTTGAATTCAGACTTTCTCCAAAGGGAAAAGACCTCTTACATAGGAACATCTCCCTCACACACACACTCACACATGTGCATTCACACACACACACACACACACACACACACACACACACACACACCACAGAGTGGGATCTGAGTGCTTTCATGGAGCTCAGGATCCTCTCTATAACAGAGGAGATTCCTCTGCTTAAGGTCTTTAATTCCATCTCCAACCACATCTGGCCTGACCACTCTTCGAACCAGTTCCCCTGCTGAGTTCCTGAGCAGGGTTTGTCCAGCTGGCCTGGCAAGCAGCCCATGGGCATGGGGGTGGTGGCAAAGCTGGCAGAGAAGGTGCCATGGATGCCCGATCTTCCCTCTACACTGGGCCTCCTCTGGGGCCCCAGGAAACAGGCTGCTCGAGATAGGTAGGTGGGAAGATGACAGAGAACTATGAAGGGCCAAGTCATGGGTGGCCTAAATAGAACCAAACACACCTTTCCCCAGACATGCTGTTCCACTGTAACATAAGATAAAGCAAGGTCAATATATGCTCTAAGAAAAAAAAAAGGGGGGGGAATGTAAATAATAAAATTCAGAAGTGATGATCTCCTTATGTAGGAATTAGTGACTTTACAAAAAGATCCTCTATGAAATATCTATGCACATGCTATGTGAAATGTAGTTCATTAAGACACAGTTGCTAAAGTTCCAGCCACTCCTCTATTTTGTGAAGGGAGGGTATCTTACAGCAGGTTCTCCTTCGAGAACAAGCTGAGGCTTCTGGGAGCTCATTTGGCATTTTTCTGAGTCCCGAGAATGGTCACGTGGTGGCCGCCTGGAGCTTTTTACTCCTGCGGAGTTCCAACAGACTTCAGCGTCAAGGTCAATGTGTCACTGGGCTCATGTCCCAGGAACCTATTTTTGGCGGGCACCGTTCGTGCCTTCCCAGTGAACACACAGGTCCTTCTGGACTCCTCTAGAGTGCTCACTGCTTGTCATCTCCTGGGAGTGTCTGGTCTTTCCTGCGGGAAATAACAAGAGCAAATCAAGACCATTGAGAAGTTTTTTCCTTGCCTCTCGCCATCTGGATGACTTATTAGGGTTGTTTGGAACTGTCTTAGGGGCTTTTTCGTTGTCTTTTATTTTTGCACAGCCAATGAATAACACACTTTGGCCACCTTAACACCAAGGATATTTGGGTGACGTGAGAAGCACGAAAGTTACTGGATTATTTGCCAGGTATAGATCAGGCTCCAGAAGCCTGGGAACAAGGATGCAGCTCTAAGACATCTTGCTGCTTCTGTTCTCACCAGGATAAACAAAGAATAACAGAACAAATGCCTTGAATTAACTCCCTAAACCATGACAAAGGCATTTAAGGTGCCTTGTTCCACATGCCCCTGAAGCCTTTCAAATATAGTTGTCTTTCTCACAGCCTCGGGCTCTGGGGAACCCTTCCCACAAGTCTAGAAAAGAGCCCCAGGAATAAGATTGATGGAGAGATAAGGGTGCCTTCAGGGACTAATTTTTTTCGGCAGAGAAGCTCATGTTTATGGAAGGAGTTAGAGTTGACTGCCTACTGTGCTCTGCCCCCTCCGGGGCCTTATCTACAGCCTAGGAGGTTGAACCCGGAAGCACAGGGCAGAGCTCAAACTTGCGCTTGAGGAAGGAGCTAGATGCCTTGTTGCGTGGACACACACATGGCATCTTCTGCTTGCTTGAACCTTGCTTTATCTCTCGCCCTGCTGCCCCTCCCAGTAACCATAGAGGGCAGCCTTCGTGAGGTCAACCTGGATTTCGGTCACAACTTCCTGGGATCTAGGCCATGAGGCTGATGACGAAGGAAGCATCCAGACTTGGTCCTCTTCCCGGAGATGCCCCAAGTTGGCTGTTTAAACCCCAGAGGTTACAATGATAGAGGTTGCTTAGGTTGTGGTTCACCATGACCCTCTGGGCTTCTCCCCCATTACTATCACACACGGACATATTTGACACCTAGTTCTCTCCTCCAAGGGCACTGGTCATAGAGGCTCTCTGTCTAGCCTCAATCTTGGCCCATTCTTCTAACTTGCAAAATCACACGCGCGCGCGCGTGCATACACACACACACACAAAGTGTAGCTCAACCTCCTCTCTACAACTATGCCTCCTTTTTATATCATATGAAATGGATATCTTACTGCTTCCCTTATGTCTCCTAGGAAATATCTTCTCTCCCGGGCTCCTCCTCGGCAGCCACTTAGGGGAAGGTTTCTTGGGCCCTCCTGCAATGAGAGGGGATCTGCCTTGCCCTGGGAGAGCTGGGTTTGCCTGCCTGTTGCCTGAGCGCCAGGCCTAGAGCTGCTCTCTCCTTTCTGCATTGCCGTGCGGGGGGCCTGTGACAAGAGGCATTGCCTAACCCCCACAGACCTGTCACATTTCCTGCCTAAAGTGGAAGAGTCCCCTTGCTACAGTGGGGAGAGGAGACTACTGAATGAAAGTGTGGAGGACTTTAGAGCCCTCTGTGAGCTACCCCTCCCCAGCCCAACCCAGGGACCTGAGGGTCCTCACTGGATCCCCCTGCCTGAGACAGTCTCCTCCATCCGGGAGGGCTTTTGCTACCATCTCTTTCCCAGTATGTTGGCCCTGCCTTTCTGATCCACTGGGCCCTCTAGAGCCTTAGTGTCCTCTTTTTAAAAGCTCTAGGTCCAGCTAAGGAACTGCCGGACACAACTCCTGAAGAATTCCCCTGCCAAGCATCCACATCAGAACCCAGCCCTTAGGGATATGTAGACCACAAAGCAGTGGGTTTGACTTTACAGTCTCTAATTGAGAGAAACACACCAACTCTACAAGCCAAGAACAGCTCCTACAGCTCTTCCTGAATTTTCTACCCCTTCAAAAATTAGAGTCAGACACTTAATAAAATGTCTGCGTCAAGTTGAGGCAGAGGAAAGAGAAGAAATTTGTCTAACCTCTGTTCCCTTAAATAAATAATATTTTGTGAACATCTTGTACCCTAATAAGCATATTGCTTTCTTTCAGGAAATACTAGGAACCAAATCTGGTTTGGATTTGGGAATGTTGTTTGACAAACTTGCAAACTACTCTTCATTTTCTAAGATTTCAGTGATAACAGACTTCAGTGGAAAGAACATTTCTCTGCAGAGAGAGAAGCCCATTTCCCCCATCCTGGCAATTCTGCCTGGGGTTCAAGGCATCACCAGCTAACACACGACACTAGCAAACTGCCAAGCTGAGCTGAAAAAAATCACAGGGCTGAGAAAGGCTTTAGATGTCAGAGTTGTCAAACTTCTTTTAGCTACAGAACCCGTTTGTTCAAGAAAAGCCTTATTCAGAGAGCCACGAAAGCCACTCTATTCTAGCCACTTATCTCTGGCCTTGCTGCCCAAGAAGTCCCTGAGCAGTTCCAAGGAGCCCAGTTTGGAAATTCTTCATCTAGACCAACCCCCTCCTTGCTGGGCCCTGACTGGATTTGATTTTCTGCCAAGCTAAGCCCCCAGCTGCAGCACCCCCTGTTTCCAGATCCAGTTCCCTGGGCGTGAGTCATTTCAGGAGTTCAAGCCTATTCTTCAAGAACGAAGTTGCTCTGGCCCCGAGTGCAGGTCAGGTGTGGGGCCCGAGTTCTGAAACATGTGCTTCCCCCGTGACCCCCTGGCCACAGCCCAGCACACACTCTGCTGACAGTGAATTGGGAGTCATCTCTAGTACAAAAGACAGAAATTGCCCCATGTGTCCTTTCCCCTATTTGTCTTGGTTACTGCAAGAGCCCAAGATTCCAGGCTTCCATGCCCACATAGTTCTTTGTGTCCTGTGTCCCCTCTCCCTTGTCATCCCTCTGAAACCTTCCCACTGTGCCTTCTGCTCCTTGCAGGCCGCTGCCCATTCAGGGGTCAGCAGACATTTTCTGTAAGGGGCCAGATACTCGTTTTCAGCTCACAAGCTGTGCAGTTTGTCTCGATGATTCAACCCTAGCAAGAAAATGGCAATCAACAGCAGCAGTATGGGGATGATGGGTGTTGCTGAACTCCGGCAAAACTCCATTTCCAGAGCAAGTGGTCCAAGTGCTGCCCTAGACCCGCGGCTCTGTGTCTGTCCACTCACTTAGCTTCCTGGCTCCCCCAAGGGGCCTGCTCCATCACAGTCTCTCCCAAATGCCATGTTCCACAGCCAGAGGTCAGGAGAAGGTCCCTACGCTTCTCTTATTTCTGCTTTCAGATTGGTGGCCCTTCCTTCCTAGCCACCTCTGGTTCTGATGTGTGTGATCAGACACTTTCACACCAACTTCACCCTATAGGATCTCCTCTAGTCCTCTGGGGACTCCTCATTCCTTGAAGACAGGAGCTCTTGGCTCACTCCCAACTCTCTCCAACCTTGCTACTCCTGCTGCCCCCTCCAGTACCTTCTTGGTTCATTGATATCTTCTCCCCACCAAGGATCCTGACTCTATCCTGTCTCAGCTGTCCACTCCCAGGGTTATAGCCAATATCCTTGCCATAACGAACAGCTGTGCCCTACCCCGTAATCTCAAATGAAACACCCTGCTCTGGAAACACCACAAGCCATCTTTCCAGCTTACTCCCTCTAGCACTTTGACTCTGACAGTCCATTCATCCTGTCCCATTTTCTCTGTTCCTCTGCCCATTGTGTCCAGTCTTCCTTTTAACCAGCTTAGATGCCCAGCCCCATCACAATCTCTCACTTGCCTGTACAGTCAACTTCCCACTTTCCCTCTTCACTGACCTTACTCATTTGGAAAAACACCAACCCCAATCAAATCCAATTAGATGGAGATCAATCTGGTACCTGAACTTGTGCCACTGAAAGGGGTAGAGAAACACGCAAAGCTGAGCTCATGGGTTGCACTTGACACCTGTGACCACCAACTTCAAACAGGTCCTTGATGATACCTGGCAACCCTACTCCATTCACTCCTCCAATTTCTTTGGTGAGTCTTTAAAGGGGGAGGCCTTTAAACTTCCAATACCTGCTCCCTTTTCCCATTTTCAGCCAATGATCTTGCTACCTGTTTCCCTGAGAAAACACAGGTAATCAAGGAGAATATCAGTACCCCTATGATGCACCTTTCCCCTTGAACCATGAGAAACCATCCCTTCCCCCTTCTAGGGCCAATACCCCTCAGGGTGCAGGAGATCCCTGCACCCCCTGCAGGATAGCAATCCTTCTGTGATTGTTCTCTCACTTTTGCATGGTCCAATTGTCTATTTCTGTTACATAACTCCCATCACATATAAAAATGCTGCTATATTTCTCATTTAAAAACAAACACAACTCTCTGAATTCCACACCCTCTTCTGGCAACCATCTTTTTTCTTCTACTAACTTTTACAGCAAAATTCCTCAGAAGGCTTGTCTATACCAGCCACGTGGCCACTCAGTACAGAACATGTGGCTAATCTGAATTGAAACATGACGTCCATGTAACATACAGAGCAGATTTCGAAGATTTAGCACAAAAGGAGTGACAAACATCTCGGGAAAAATTCTTTGTATTTATTAGAGTTGAAATGATAACATTCGGGTTATGTTGTATTAAATAAAATATATTATCATGGTTAATTTCGCCAGTTCTTACTTTTTTAATGGTGTTGCTAGAAAGTTTAAATTACATATATGCTCATATTTATGGCTTGCATCCTATTTCTGTTAGACAGAGCTATCTCAGACTTTTTTTTCCTATCCTCTCTTGAACCCATATCTGTTAGGCATTTGGCCCCATCGCTTCTCCAAAACAGATATTTTCAAAGTCTCAGGAGTTTGCATGCTGTTGAAGCCAGTGGTTAGTTTCCCATCCTTGTATCTGCAGCATGAAACCAATTTCCAGGAGATCATCTGTTTGTACCTAGGCAAAATCAAAGGGGAATAATTAGGAGGAAGGAGGTGTGTGGGGACGAGAGAGGATGTGATTCCCGGCCACATGACGGCAGAAGCTAGGAAACCATGGAGTGGGAGAGAGGGCACTGCAAGAGGACTGAGACACAACAGCAAGCCTTAGCAAATTTACACTTCTGTCCAGGCTGCCCAGGTTATACAAAGCCAGTTGTGTTCGTGCACAGCTTCGCCTATCACCTCTCAGACCTCTGTGGGCAATGGTGATGCCCTTTGGCAGGGCGGTACCCACACTGAGGGGACGTCATCTTATGATGGGCACAGTCCATCCCATGTACACACCTTGGCTCTGGTTCCCGGGCTGGGGATGTTTGCAAACTTTGCTATCCGAAGCTGCCTTCAGAGAATTCAGGGTCTGACAGTTCCATCTCCCCTTCCTTTCTTCTAGGCTTTTTAGTGCAATTTTAGAACAAGCAACCAAAGCCGACGGGGCAAATGCTCTGGGAGGGAAAGGAGCTGGATTTGACGTGAAGGCACTGAGGGCATTCCGCGTGCTGCGCCCGTTGCGCCTGGTGTCTGGAGTCCCAAGTAAGTAAAGCCATTCTTCCGGGTCGCAGTGGTATCTTGTCACCCCCCTCTGCTGTCTGAGTTGCCAGGAGCCCTTTGCAAGGAAAACTGATTCCATATAAAAGGAGGTATCTTTTCTTAAATGAATTCCTTTGCTATAAATAAATAAACAAATAAATAAATAAAAGATTATACATCCTTAAAAAAAAGAACTTAACTCTGATGTGAGCCCATGAAACCACACTGTGGTCCCAGCTCCTGTAAACACCTGGAAAACATCCACGGCGGCCAAACAACCAAATGAAGACAGTCTACCCAGAGAAAGAAATCCTTTGGCCAGCTGAGCCATCCCCCCCAGGCCCTGGGCTGGGAATTTATTAAGCACGTTTGCACCGAGGAGCCAGGTGAGCAGAGAAGGCTAATCCCTAGGGCTCAAGCTCCAGGTATTTTAGCCAATGAGATTATCTCTACTTTCTGTATTTTTCCAAAGAACAATCAGAAAAGCATCAATCGTTGTTCAAAAAGTTCTATTTGCCATTTCTCTCAACCCTCTCCTTCTTTCATGTCAAATGGGACATTTCCGGCTTCAGAAACCCTATTTATGGACAGGCTGCCTGCCTTTGTGAGAACTGGTTTTGCCCAAGGGTGGAGGGTGTTCAGCTCTCTGAATCAGGCCAGAGGACATTGAAGAGATATTATCTTTCCAGATACCAGTCTGGTGGACAGCCCCTCTTCTCCCTCTTCCTCCAGAAGCCTGCTCCACTGTGGATGAGCCCCGGACACTGAATACTGCAACTTCAGGCACCCCGCATCACCTTCAACAAAGCTCAGCCCCAGTTGCTCTTAGGGGTTAAGTCAGCTTTCAGAGAGCTCCTCATTCCACTCCTCCTTGATTGATTGGCACGATCTGAGCATAATTCTGGCCTGGTGTGCTGAGATTTTTCCTTCTCAAGTCAGCTCCATCAGATCTGGCCCATAAGTCAAAGTAGAGATAGTCCCTATGACTGGGCTGAAACCAGATGAATTTGGAAATGGGAGCAGGGCACAGGAAAACAAAGAGGTCCTCTGAACACTGAGCCTTTACCATAGAAATGTGAAGGATCTTATATTAAACTATTCGATTCTTTCCATACACGCACAGAATGGTGGGCAGATCTTCCCAAAGTAACCTAACTAACTAGCAGCAGAACAGGACTAGAACCAGGTCTCCAGACTTCCAAACCAACTTTCTTTCCTACTATGCAATACAACCTCTTGTAAAGGATTAACTAGTATAAACCTCTTGTCTTAGACTTCTACATATATATCCCATCTCTTCAATTATATTATAAGCCCCTGGAAACCCAGAACTTTGCCTTATATTGGCTTTGTTCCTGCACCATGCCTACAATGGTCTCTGCACAAGGTAAGGGAATTTATTAGATAAATGAAGGCAAGAATTAGAATGTTTTCTTTGCAATGGGGCCACCTGGGAGAAGTTTGTGGTCTTTCTTAAGCTCAAAAGTGAATGCAGAGCTAAGCCTCACACACACGTTTGGAACAGATTCTTTCTACTTGGCCTTAAACCTTTTAGGACGTCTAGAAATAGAAACAGTATACAGTTGACCCTTGAAAAATGTGGGGATTAGGTGTGCTGACCCCCACCTTGCACAGTTGAAAATTAACATATAATTTTTGATTCCTCCAAAACTTCTCTACTAATAACCTACTGTTGACCAGAAGTCTTACCAATAACATACACAGTCAGTTAACACATATTTTACATGTGTTATAATATACTATATTCTTAAAATAAAGTAAGCTAGGGAAAAGAAAATGTTATTAAGAAAATCATACAGTGGGGCACCTGGGTGGCTCATTCGGTAAAGTGTCTACCTCTGGCTCAGGTCATGATCCCAAGGTCTTGGAATGAAACCCCGGAGTCAGGCTCCCTGCTCAGTGGGGAGCCTATTCCTCCCTCTCCATCCACCCCTCCCAACACTGCTTGTTGTGCTTTCTCCTGTGCACTCTCTCTCAAATAAATAAATAAATAAATAATTTTTAAAAAGAAAATCGTATGGTGAGAAAAAAATACATTTATAGTACTGTTCTATATTTATCAAAAAAAAAAAAAAGTCTGTCTGTAAGTGGACCTACACAGTACAACTCATATTGTTCAAGGGTCAACTGAATACGAAGGCCAAGATCCAATTTCCCTTTTGTCAAGCCTAAATTCTTGATTTCTTGATCAGCTTTCTTGATTAAATTCTTGATTGAATTCTAAATTTCTTGATCAATCATCCATAACTCAATAGACCAAAATCAAGGAATGAGAAGGAAGGTGAGAATAACTTTGAACATGACTTTAAGGAGCTTAATATGATGACAATGATGCAGCCAATGTCTCAGTGATAGGAGCTATGAACTTCTCCAAACTTCCCACCAAACTACAGGGGACATGATGAATCTTACCCTCTTATGTGTGTGCTTATTAGGAGTGCACACTTTCAGAGCATTGTTCTGTGTATGAGAACATACCATAAAGAACAAATACAGTCTTTTCACCTGAGGAATCTGACAATCTAATAAGAGTGTATCAGTCAGCTTTTGCTGTAGGAACAAACAATCCCAAATTCTCAGTGACTTAAAATCCAAAACCTTTATACTTGGTCATGTCACATGATGATGTTGGCCAGCCCCCTCTTTTCTGGGCTCAGCTGGGCTCTGGACTTCTATGTGGGATCTCATTCCAGAACCCAAGTTGAAGAAGCATCCAGCAGGTAGGCCATGTTGTTCTCATGGCAGGGTACAGATGTTCAAAAAAGGGACAAAAGAACACAAGCATAATTTAGGCCTTTGCTCAGAATGGCTTATATCATGGCTCAAGGATAAGGGGACACAAAAGTATACTGTACCTGTGAGAAGCAAGGGTGAACAAACAGTGCAGTCTAACACAGAGACTGAGGGGTTTGGTATTGCAGAAATATCTACAGTAATTACTCTAGTACAGAAATTCTTAATTAGAGATGCATTGGTTGAGAGTCACTCATGCTTCAGTGCTTTGAAAAGGAGAATCAGATTAGATACAGTAGCCAGGTTCCACTGTAGAAACTTCGTAAAGAAAGTGTCCTATCGCCATATGCATTTTGTTAATGGTAGAACTGTAGAGTAAGAGATATCATACCTTGGAATTCTCTCAAGAAGATGAGGACATGATACATACAGTAACTCAAAGATAAGGACCTACTATTACCTGTCATGCAGTCCAAGAAAGTAGCTTCATCATGGAAGATGATCACACTGAGATGGTTTTGCTGGTGTCCACAGCCTTGCAGGTGGCTTCATGCTTATGCATAAGGCTAACAACTGTATCTTGTGTTCCCCAGGTTGCCAACAGAATAGCTCTTTTTGGAGCTTAAAGGAAGGGCTAATCCAGCCTGTCACCCTTTCTCCTGGAAAATTGTCTGTGCAACTTTTAAATAATAAAAGTGAACAAGTGCCTCATGCTAGTTTGGTTGATATCATTCAGGAAGATGTCAACAATCTCTCCTACCACTCCAAACCTAGACGAAGTCCATTTCATAGATCTTTTAGTTGTCTTCTTTCATATTTCAGCAGAACTCGAAAGAGTTGCCTCTATCTGTTGCCTTCAATTCTTGTCTTCTCATTCTCTCTCAAATCCTCATCAGTCAGGCTTTCTCCCCTACTACTGCAGTAAAACATCTCTTCTCAAGACCGCCAGTGATTTCCACATTACCAGACCCAGTGGTTAGTTCCCTGGTGCCATTGTATTTGATCTATCTGTAGGATTGGATGCAGCTGATCATCCCTTGTCTTTGAACCACCATCACCACTTAGCTACCAGGACACTGTTCTTTCTTCATTGGCTTTTCCTTATCAGAATCACTTGCTGATTTTCCCTCACGTTCTCATCCTTTTAGCATTGCAGAGCTGCAGGTTCAGTCCTCAGACCTCTTCTCTATCTCAGGGATACTTAGTTTCTGAGTATCTGGCATTAAATATCTTGAGCCTTCTGGCATTAAATATCTCTTATATGTCTTCTAATAACTATGAACTCTATCTACCAGCTCAGACCTCTGTTCTAAGCTCCAAACTTGTATACCTCCTTGCTTATTCCAGTACTTTCATTTGATGTCTAAGCATCTCAAACTTACCACATCCATAACAGAACTTCCAGTCTTCCAAAGCCTTTCCTGTCTTGGTCAATGTCAACCTCATCCTTCCAGTTACACAGGCCAAAAATCTTGGACTTATTGCTTTCTCTCACCCTTTGTAGGCAGTCCCTCAGTAAATTCTCTCAGGCATACCTTCAAGAAACTCCCTCCTTCTTACCACCTCCAGCACCAGCCAGTTCTCACCTTGATCATCACCAACACCTCTCACCTTGATCGTTATAGTAGCTTCCTAACTGGATTCTCTGTTTCCATGCTTACCTTTTGCCACAGCTTATTCTCAACACAGTAGCCAATGTGGTCTTTTTGAAATACAAATCCTCGTAAAATACACATCACAGCTGTGCCCAGAGCCCTCCAAGTTACCCTCACTCACTGATGAGCGACAGAGTCCCACAGGGCCCTACATGGTCTCACGCTCTCCTCTCTGAAATCATCTCCCTCTCCCCTTCCCTTCTGTCTGTCCCATCTTGCCAGCCTCTGTGACCTCCTTGTCATGCTTCCAACACCCCAAACCCACTACCAACATGGAGCCTTCACGCTTGCTGCTTCTTGTGTCCACAATGCCCTTTCCCCACTCTCTGCTGGGCTGGCCTGCTCACCTGGTCATTCTCCACAGAAGTGTCATCTTACCAGAGAGTCCTGCTCTCCCCATCTGTTAAGATACTTGATGCTTAGAGACTTTTCATAGGACAGGCTTTCCCTATGGTCTGAGTTTTTGTAAGATTGGCTCTTTCTCAGTTAAAAGCGTCATTTCTGGAATCACACAGAATTAGAAAACAGCTATTAAACAAGAGTTTGCTTCCTAATTGAGAAGTGAGAAGAGGCATAAAACCCTTTCTTTCTATT